TATTATCCTAACCCATGCAGTTCTTGTTGCAAAGTTTCCTAGTTTATATTATGTCAGAAAACCGCAGAGATTTATCACAATTGTGCCTGACTGATTTGAGTGCCTGGCAGTGCTAAGTTCTTGAGCCCATGACTGCACACAGGGCAGGGCGTGAGTTATTGCAATACTGGGCTGCAAGAACCTAACCATATTTTATCCTTGCTGTACAAAACCAATCTCTCTTGAACAGATATTTTAGTTTTCAAAGAATTGTGAAATTATTCATTACCAATGCAATTTTAAAAGCGCAGAAGTAATACAAATGTTGTGCTTAGTTGCCTTAAAGGAAAGGTAAACAGCAGATGATGTACTCCATCACCATAACTCAGAGTGATAGGAAAGCTGTAAAAGGATCCATTATATGCTCTGCGAGTAGGCTCTCAAAACAGCTTTTTTATTGGGCAGTGGCTCCTGCTTTAGTAACCTTTAGACCTTACAGCACTCTGAGGTGCTAGAAAACACCTTGTTTTGCCTTTGAACTCTCCTTTGTGGCTGTTTAGTGAAAGCTTTGCAATTAAATCCGTATATTTTTCTTGGAACCCGCTCTGTTGTAAGGGAAGCTGATCTGAATCCTAAACAGTTGGCGTATTTAAAGATGATACCCTGGAGTGTTGAAACCTGTGGAGTCGAATTTCAAACTCTGCCCATCATGTGTCAGAAAATGACATTTCTTCAGTTCAAATTTGGCAAAATCCCAAAACCAAGCCTGAAAATTAGTTTACTCTTTTAGCAATTTACCGTATGTGGTGTGAATTTTATATGATATTAACTTCGCATTTCTCCGATTACAGTATGTATTCTAGTAAACTTCTAGCAGCACTAATTATATATATATGTGTATATATATAAATATATAAGTTGTATTTCTGGCATGGAAACATCATCCCCAGTATCTTTGGGGAACTGTACCTTTTTCATGAAAGTTCTCTGCCTGGATTCAGGCCCAGAAATACAGGTTACATTTTTCACCAATTTGTGTTAACTCGGGGCAATGAATTGTGTCTGTTGATCATGTTACAGTATTGTAGTTGATGTAATAGTCCAGAAGGTTTGAACGACAGATCTGTCTATTGAAAATAGACAACAGACTCAGTTCAGTATATACAAGTTAACACATCTATATCAGATGCAATACATCTGAGCTAGACTTGTTATTTTTTATTTATTGAACTGAGTCTGAGTCTATTCATTCTGGGAATATAGCTCAATAAGAAAATTGTTACTTTTTCACAGTAAAGCAAAAATTCCATTCTGAATTCGATATAGAAGAGTACCACTCTGGAAATGTGTTTAAATTCCACGTTAGGATATATGAATGGAAGAGAGTTAAACCTTTCTATTGCGGAAGCGTGTACAATGCCAAATTTGTAATAATTATGTAGATATCTTACTTTTAAAATCTGCCTCAGGGAAGGAAGAAAAAAAGTCTAGTCTGCTCTTTTTTTCTAACTGGAAAATGTACACCTCGTCAAGTTTCAAATTTTAGTCAGGTGGATAAAATGTCTACAAGATTTTAGTTGTGGGTGTATAGTTTGGGTTTACACATTGCCAAGGTTGTCCCTTCCCTTCCTCTCCTCTGTACCTCCTTCCTTCTAGAGTTCCATTAGAATCTCAGCCAAGGCAGCACAAATACTAAAGGGAAGATTAGTGTGAAAAGATTAATACAGAATGGAGTTGTGAATTTTCATTGTGAACAGAAAGTCTGATATTGAGGAATGAAACTGAGTTCTGGAAAGGGTGCAACGCAAATAATCCTACCACAATTGCCCTGTTAATTAATTGCCTCTTTTTTAGCCTTAAGGAAGTTAGCTCCTTTCAAGCCCACAAATTCCTAAATGCTTAGAATCAACAAATCATGAAATGGAAGATGCAAGGAACCCTTAATAAAGTTCAGTGGAATTCAGAATTTGACAATTAATTAGATGCTTGCTTTTATCAAGACGCTGAACATTTTGCCTTGATTCTGTAAACTATGTGGAGGAGGACATTAACTAGCTTCTGATTGCTGCCAAGGAGAGTTCAGTTGGAAAGGATCAACGGCACAGTGGCTTCATTAAATATCTGCAAGGCTGATTGGTATCTAGTACCTATTCTAAGAGTGAAATCTAGAGTGCAGACAATTGGAGATGATTCAAGCACCAAAGTCAAGCTGTAGAATTATCACTTACCCCATATCTTTACGCACTTGAACTTGTAATAGACATCTCCAACACGAGCAACACTATTTGAGAGTCCTGGGTTCCACTTTGTGGTCAGGAACAAGCTGTATATTCTGCTATAAATCAACTCAGGCTGCCCATTGCAGTAAAACCTTTGGAACATTTATAATTGAATGATTGTAAGCAGGCCAAAATATGCCATTTATTCATGTGTGCATTGGAGTGAGAATTCGGGGCATTTTCTTGGATTTGTTCAAACTTTAACTTTGACATTGAGGGGGGAAATGCAGTTGAACTCAATCTTGTTCTTCCCCAGAATTGGGTGTGTATCATTGAGGAAAATGTGGAAATATTTTTTTCAGAATGTGAAATATTTTTCAATAGATTCCTCTGTTTGTAAAAATTAGTTCTAAATCACAAGAAACGTTATCAACTTTAGATCATTGGGACTTTCACATGCGACTTAAAACATATTCTAGTGGGTCAACATGTGCAACCAAGTCTAATGATTTATATAATATAAAATTCCTCATTTATCCTTTTTGCTCCCAGATTGTCAGGCTTGGTGCCAGGAATACAGTTGGCTGTAGATTGTTTAAGATGCATTAGTGGTCCCCACCAGTTAATAAAAAAGATTGTCTTGTAAAATAATCTCTCACCTTTTATAGGTCAAGAGAGTATACCATTCACTTTAGACAGAATTCCAATAATGGCTGATCCGCCGGGGATTTATGTAGTTATATTTTTCCGGCATTCATTCTAGCCACTAAGCCTCTCGTATTTCTTTAAGCCTGTGTAAGAAATGTGTCCCTTGGGAAATGCCTTAATAGTCTCCCACACCACTGTTGGTGAGACCGGAGACTATCCATTTGTTATCTCAAATTTATTGTCTCCCAAGAGAGAAGTTTTAGGACACCATTGTTTAGGGTTTCTGTTCTTTAAATATGATGCTAATGCATTATCATGCACTGATTTTTTTCTGTTGATAGAATTGGAAACCAACCAGTATTCTTCATTGGCTGTGTTTTCCTACTTATCAGCTGTAGTTTATCAGTGGGTACGATTACATTCATATAGTAATGCAATTTGAACCCTTTGATAAGATTCTGCCCTCTAATTGGTTACAAATATAATTAATAGTTCATAACCTTGGTACTGTATTTCCAATTATCCTATTTGCAGTAATGATACTAAAGAATGATGTGTCCAAACTCATGAGGGATAGTTGTGTTGTACATGTTAAATTACTACAAAGGGGTATATTTGCTAGATGTTGGCAAACGAAGAAAACTTTCTTCTGATTTTGAAGCTTTCATGTTGTGCCAGTACAACTCAAGGTTTATATTAAATGTCACTATCACTCTGCCCTGAAAGCATAACAGCTGTCAATGAGAAGGTGTTTCGACTCCTGCAGAACTCATTATATACAGGAAACTTGCTGTTTTATCATAAATGCTTTATCTCTGCATTCTGGCAAACTGTGCTTCCCCTCAGTGGGTAAGGTAGAGTTGAAAGTAAGGAATTAATTTACATGATAGAAAAACATTTACTTTCTGAGTAAGCGTGTTTATGGAATCTGGCTTCCTTTCAATCACAAACACCAAATCTGCTTGTTTCTGTGTTTTCTATTGAGTTTTCTATCTTCCCTGTTCTATCATAGGGAATAAACTCATTCCTCACACAATGGAAAATAGAATACAAATGACATCCATACCTTTAAATGATAGAAGTGGAAATATTAATGGCTTCTGTAAAACGAGAAAAAAAGAACCTTCTAAATGCGTACTTTGAGTAAACCTAAGCTAAGAGTCATCACGGCCAAGGCTCTCCTCCTTTGCTCCCGTCAGCACCTTCTTGCCTCAGACACTGGCCACATCGATTTGCACAGATGCACACTCCATCTCACATCGCTAGTGTGGAACCTCATTGTCCTGTTAAACCCTCAACTGTCCTTTAAGTCTCTGTACTTGTTGGCTTTCTCCCACCTCTGCAACATTGGCCGTCTCCACTACTCTCTCTCCCAAGCAGCCAAGATCCTCATTATGCTTAATTATTTAAACCTTTCTAACCATGCTTTCAGTTACCTTCCCTCCCCCCCATCCCCAACTTATCCTTCGCAGCTTTCCTTACCCCTTGTCACGACTTCCAGTTGGCTTGTGAGATGCTTTAAGATGTCCACGATCTGTATGCATATATAAATTCCTATCTAAATGTAAATTTAGTGTACCACCTTTTCATATGGTCGATGTCTGTCTCAAAGCACTTCACACTATTTACTGTAAAGTGCAGTGACTGTATATTTTGTAGACAAATGCGGCAGTCAATTTGCAACACAGCAGCTTGCACAAACGGCCGTGAAATGAAGGATCAATTTTATTTGGAGCATTGTTGGTCAGGTACTGCTAGAAATTCCCTTCCTTTTTGAATAATTGTTTTTTGTGTGGATTTTAATGGATACCCGAACCAAACAAAATTCAAGGCTTCTTCCACAATTGCTTATGTTATGTAGGATGGAATTTGCCCAAGTAGTTTCTCAATCAAAGCGTAATATGTTTTGGTCTATATCCACTGTTGGGTATAGTCTTTATACTGCTCATTCAGTTTGTGTAATATTCCCCACAAATGTCCTTTGCAATTATAATAATGCTAAAATAAAAGTGTACCCTGGGATCTTTCTACAGCAGCTTTGTCACAGTGTTTCAATTGAATCTGAAGGCAATTACAAGTAAGCACTGCTTTAAAATAAGTAACAGCAAACTTTTTAAGTTTGATTTTTTAAAAAAACTTTCATTTTTATTGCAGGCAAGATGGTTCTGGGAAGCTTACTTCAAGTCAATGAAAGCAATTGCACTGGCGGCCCTACAAATCATCAATGACAGAATTTATCCATACGCTGCCAGATCTTATGAGGATTGGAATGATCCAATTGCCGTGGTGAGTGTATGGTGCCCAGACTTTGGAAGCCTGAATGCATGGGTCGTTAATTTGTCATACCCTCCCCTCTGAGTGCTCATCCTTCTGGAACCAGCATCTCCTGTCTCGTCTCACAATAAAAGGTTTGCTGAACCTTTATTTTCCTAGTGTGTGTGTTTATCTGAGAATCCCTAATTCTCTCACTTGAACTCTGTAAGTGAATTAAAATTAGGTTCCCCTATGGGGCTCAGACAGTAGTTTGCCACTACTTGTCTTAATGATGTGATTGGCAGTTAACAATGGCTCTCATTCCTTCATGCAGAGCACACTAATCGTATATCTTTAGCTGTTGCCTGTCTGCAGATGTGGCTTCGTTGGTGAGATTCAGCTTTGATTTTAACCCCTTTACTTCCAAATCTTTCTGAACATTTTAATAGGTTTCATAATTGGAAACCTATTAAAGTTTTCAGAAAGATTTGGAAGTAAAAGGTAGGAGGAATAGAAAGGAATTACGAAAATAGTCAAAATTTAAAAGGAAAAATACTTAAATGTTCACATGACTAAACTAGATGGTTTTCCACGGTGGTGCAGTAAGTGAACTATTGCTTTTGTACTCCTGATCACTAAACTCTGCCGTAAAGTTCATTTGTGCGCACGTTTGCTGGTCCCGAGGACAGTATATTGCCCTTACATCACACAGTCTGTCAACATGTTCATCAGTCAGAGGGAGGATGAACTGGGTCCAGGAACTGTAACCACAATTGAAAGAAAAAGGAGGAAAAAACCTTTAGGACAGGAAGAGTTGAGGGAGAAATTTCTTGGGGACAGAGAAGGAAGAAAACAGTGAAACTAGTTCACTTTTCACTTATTTCCTTTTTTCAGTGCAAAATATTTAGAAAATATTTTAGCTGTTCTCCCCGTTCCTCTCACATTGCTGCCTAGATTTATCAGCAATAATATATGCCTAGGTCTCCTGTGTATAAATACATTTTCTTGTCCAGTAATTATTGAGAATTTTTTAATACTCAAATGAATTCTGCATGGTAGTTTGGCTGTAGTTATAGGTATTAATGAACTACCCAATTTCAAGGGCATTCCTAGGAGTAATTATTATCAAGTTGAATTTCCTCTGAGGTCAGTGTCGGGTTAGAAAATGCTCACTTTCCAAAAGATATTTATTTTGTAAAATATTTGTAACCTTCTCTGGTTGGGACCAATTCATTTTTTAAAAAAAGATAATAATCCTTGCATTTGATATTTGATGTAGCGCTTTTCATGTCTTCGAGATGTCTCAAAGCACTTCACAGAATATACTGTAAAGTGAATTGACTGTATATTTGTGGGCAAAACGCAGCAGCCAATTGCACACAGCAGTGTCCCACAAACAGTCATGGATTGAGTGACCAAATTATTATTATTTTTTCATTTCATCAGAATTTTTACAGTCCAGTACAGAGGTGGGCTCTCCCATTAATCTATTAAACCTTAAGAATAAGGTTATTGAGCCACAATGTGTAAGTCATGTGTTGAATAATATTTCACCAGAAGGGTTCCACTATAACTGGCTCAAAATGTATAAATAAATAAAGTTTGATTTAGTGCTTTTTCACGTTGTTGAGACATCTCAGAGGCTTCACAGAATATACTGTAAAGTCGATTGACTGTATTTTATGGATGAAACATGGCAGTCAGTTGCGCACAGCAATGTTCCACAAACAGGTATGGAACGATTGACCAGTTTTTTTAACATTTGGAAGATTGTTGGCTTGGACATCAGGAGAACCTCCTCTTTCTGAATTAGTGCCATTGGATCTTCAAAGTTGAACAGGCAGATGGGATCTTGGTTTGATGTCTGAACTGAAGGATGGCAGGGCAGCTGGACCCAACTTACAGTAGTTTGTTGAGCACTTTGATTTTATTTAGTGCAGTATTTATTCTCCCCCCTTGTTGGATTGTCTCTGCTGCTATCACATCTGTCCATCCACTCAGAAAATGCCATTCTTGACTGAGGACATCGCCAGTGTCGCAGTTAATACTGCTCTGTGATTTCTATGAAGCAGAAATAGTGCTGCTTTTCCTCTCTTTACCCCCTTCTCCACACCTCCCCTTCATAAGTGTTCTTTTCACTCTGCTACTCCACCTACTGTCCCCATAGACTCTCAGTATTTCACTGAATAGTTTTCTCTGCACTGAGTTGTGGTGTGTTCAAGTTCATTACAGTAGTGAAAGAAAATTCAAAACTTGGCATCACTTGAGCAAACAATTGAGGAAAGACCCGAAAGAGTTAACCAACTAACATCTAGGGCTGTTTTTGGCCTTTTGACCATTACAGGATGAGAAGCAAGATGGAATACTTTCTCAAAGTATTCACTGGAAACACATCTAGGGTAATTGGACTGAAGCATTGAATAAATCAAGTGTTTTTATCCAAAAGCTGTAATTGAAACCACATTGTGGTTGGATGTAATTTAAAAGACATCATAGACAGAGTGATGTGCTTGTCTCCTCAGTCCCGAACAGGCCAAGGATGTAGGAATTCATGATTGTAAATGTGTCCACTCCCCTTCTAACAAACATTTGCGCATCTTAAAAGGCTCCCTTTGGTTTTACAGAGCGAGTGGTTGTATAGATGCTGGTGTGTTAACAAGCAGCCTTTATTGTTCCACTGTCTGTCCAAAACAGCATGTCTCTTAAGTTGTAATCTGATCAGCTCAATATAGCCATTTCTCTCTGGCTGTAGTGCTTGTCATGCATGTCTAACATTTTAAGCAAAGGAAAAAGTATCTCATATAGCACAAGTCAGCACCATAACATCATAGTAATTTACTTTGGATTTCTGGACAGTATGAAGCTGAGCAATGCCAGCTTCCGGAGACTCAAATATTATTCACGCAATAGGAATAAAAGTGCCAATTTTATATATTTTGAACAATATGGGCCTTTCTTTGATATGATATATGTGGTCTTCAGGAGCAATATTGTTTGCTTTTTTTATATCTGTAGGTTGAACAATAATCCTGAAGGATTTAAGTGAAATGCACAAAATGTACATGGCATGCATTATTTCAAGGCTGATATGTTTGTTGCTTTATTTGAACTTCCATTCTTTCATAATGAGTTCTGTAATGCTTTATTTTTCCATTTGGAACATTGTAATGATATTGAAAATTCTAGCTCCTAATGGTGGAGCAAATGATACATGCTCATACTAAAACAAGAGTGGTGCCTCACACAGTTGTGTCATTCAAAGCATGGGATCAGCCTCATGAATCTATGAAACAATTGTGAGGACCTGGGAATGCTGGAGTTCAGGGAGATGAGTTTTGAGATGTAGAATGAGTTGGTTACAATACAATGAGCTCTATATAGAAATGGAGTTCTGTAGTGTATTGGTTAGAGCACTCGCCTCGCAAACGAGAGGACCTGAGTTCAATTCATGGGCAGGGCGAAACCTTAGGCAGGTTTACTTACTCTACACGCCTCAGTTTACCCAGCAGTAAGTAAGAACCCGGTTGTTAATCAATTGGCGGAATCGCTTTCCAGGGGTAATAATCCCTTAAAAATAATATTGTAATTTGGTCACTCAATCCACGACTGTTTGTAGGACACTGTTGTGTGCAATTGTCGCCACATTTCGCCTACAATATATAGTCATTACACTTTACGGTAAATTCTATGAAGTACTTTGAGACGTCTTGAAGACATAAGGCGCTATATCAAATGCAATGATTGTAAGGTTGCAGTGTATTTGGAGTTTGGGGAGAATGAGGGAGCACACGTAAGAGGAGCAATGAAAATAATTAGCATCAATAAGTTATAAGGGTGTGTTAAATGAAACTATTCTCCTGTGTGTACTGCCTCCAGCTTTCTTTGTTTAATTAATAATTTGAGGCCATAACGATCTTTCCCAAATGATTTTCAAAATTTGAAATGTACTCTGGACACTTTCAGCAAACCTGTTCCAATTCCAAGATATTTGAAATATTTTAGATGGTCAGTGAGATACTGTAGATCTTTCTGCCATTATTTGCATCATAAATTGTCATTACTTTATGTCCATTCAAATGTCTTCAGCACAATTAAAAAAACAATGTTTAATGTGCACATATTGACATTTCTTAGTAATGTACAATGATTTTATGATTAATCACCCAATAGTGTTTACACAATCTGCCCTTGTCCAAATGCCATCAAGTTTAACACATGGCATTGATTCCAAATCGCAGTACATGTTGAGAGTTGACATCCACATCGTTCTAACCCAGAGCCGAGAGAATCAGACTATTCTTTATATGGTCGGTATTATCTGAGGGCAAGACTGTTTTTCTTCATCGTTCCCAAGGTCATGCATCAGTTGGCTGATTTCAGGCATAGAGCAATGTTGAACTCAACTGGAGGTATGCACGATTGCCCATGGGATGAATTTCCTTTTTTCCACTGGGGAATTGATGGTGCCCGCCCAGCTCTTTCTACAATGACTGGGCTAAACACTTCACGGCACCACATCCATAGAATCCTCTACTTTCAACCATAAAGACAACTCCCGTTAACAGTTTAGGCCTGTAACTTTCAGTTTTCAATATCCTACCTTGATGACCGGGCCTAAGCCTAACTCTTCCTCTTTTCTACATTGGTCCACTCCTCAACTCTAAAAAGAGTAAATGAAAAGCAGATGGATGCCACTGTACATCTGAAAAACCTTCCAGATTCCTCGTGCTTATTTCACCATAGAAATGTTGATATTAAATATTGCAGTTAATCAGTTTGAAGATGTTTTCACTTTGAACTGATGCTAAAGGTGCAGTACAAATTAGACTTGAAATGCATTCTAGCCCAAATGAGGAGGTGGTTTCAGGAATCAAATTTGTGTCATTAGCTGCGATCATTTAAAATGAAATCTATTAAAGTTGCATTTTTGAAAGGTCCATTGATCATGTGACTGGCTCTTTAATATTCAAAAAATCCTTTCTGCACCAGTTAGTGGAGTTCATAGACCTAATGTGAGCGATATCAGAACAGCAAGTATAAACCTACTGCCTGCTCCCAATGGCTGTGTTGCAAGTGGGTGATTGTTCTTGGCTAATTTGGGCTGGAAAGTGTTCAGTAAAGTCAACATCTTTTTTTTCTTTTTTTAAAAAAAACGTATTTCACCCTTTATCTTCTCTCCTCCTTCCCAATAAGTAAAATAAAACTATATAATGTTTTAACAAAAGTAAAACTACTCATGTTTTGTTAATTCTCTCTCTCTCGGAAGTAAAATCAAAAAGAATTGAGTGGCAAGTTTTTGATCTCTGGGCTTCACCTTGTCCCGCGAGGAATGTTCTGGATATTGTGACTGGTGCCAAAGCCGCTGTCTTTATGTTGTTGCAGACTTCAAGGTTTATATGTCTGGAACAGGCTCTTCATAAAAATTCAATACATGAAATGTTCTGAAAATATATTCTGGAAGCACATTCTTTCAATAGGAGGAGGATGGATAATGCTGCATATAGAGAACCCTTAATGCTCCTTTTAGGAAGTATTATAACTTGCATGTTTATGTTTTGCACTGTCTACCCTCAGGTTTCTCATAATCCTAGTTCCCAAATAAAACGACACAACTGATTCACTGCAGCAGACAAATTCATTCAATGAAAGCAAATATTGGAGTTTTCCCGTTAACTTATGGTTATAAGTTGTTTGATGTAAAACTGTGCTCAGGTTTGATCCCCAGTCTGTGCTCGCATTAGTAGGATTGCTCCACTTCCTTCAGTACCCCTGTGCTAGGGGATGAGGTGGGGGGGGAGAAACACAACCAGAGCGCCCACTCCTGATCACCAACCAGTAAGCCCCACTCAAAAATGAATGAGTGAGTATCAAGTGAGGAGAGAATTGGACTTGATTGTGATACCCCCCCCACCCCACACACACACACACACCAGCCAGACAAGAAAAATAAGCCCTTGTGTGAGGTTCTGGAGGGCGAAACCATACACCAGCTTTGTTTGGTGCCTTTGGGAGAGAGGGAGAGAATATTGCTCAATTGATTAACAAAAAAACCAAGACCACTTCAGGCAAATCTCGAATATGGTCCAAACCAAAAATATTCTTGCTGTATGTTTAGAGAGCTCATGTCTTTGTGGATGTCAACTGAACCCCCTTCATTCCTCTTTTGCCTTGTAAAAACAAAAGTGGACATCCATTTTATACAGATCTTTTTGAAAATTCCTAATCATTCCAAAAATTTTTTAAGAAAAAAATGTTATTTGGTTTGAACTGTCCTGTTACCGGAATGTAGTAATTTATGATGCTGCTTTACAGATCTGCTCTTTTCTTTTTAATTCAGAAATTGATCAGTGTGAGCAACCCTCTCTTCCTCCCACTCATCCCACCGAGGTCTCAGGGCTTCACTGCAGTTGTTCTCACTTATGATCGTGTGGAGAGTCTGTTCCGAGTGATAACTGAAGTCTCCAAGGTGCCCAGTCTTTCGAAACTGCTTGTTGTGTGGAATAATCAGAACAAGAGCCCACCTGAAGGTAAGATGTCCGTGCTGTAGATAAAATGTGATGTGGGGGAGGTAGATGAGTGGAAAGAAAGGACATTTCAGCCAGTAATGAAATTAAAGAAGTTGGGATAGCATGAATAATTGCATGGATAAAGCTTGGTTGGTATAAATTGTTTCTGAAAGGTGCTATAAATTATTCTAAATGTACAAATCTACAAATTCCCCATCTGCTTTTATAATACCGTGCAGAGCATTTATTTTGTTTACAAAATGTTACAAGTTCTTGCCATCATCTGACATTAAATTAGCCAAGTGATTCAGTAGAATAATTGTCTTGAAGCTTATTCATTGCACGTTCAGGAAATTGGCGAGAACTCTTTTGTAGTCTGTTGCCTACAGAGAGTGTTCACACTGTAACAGATGCTCAGTCTGCTGCAATCCAAATAAGTTTATACACAGATTGTTTTAATATTTAGGACATCTATTGTTTCTTCTCCCCTGGAAAAAAAACCTTTTCTCCACTTTTTCAATGATCCTTTCCAGAAGGTATTGGTTCATGGTAAAGTAGTTCCAAAAGCACTGTATTACAAAGACCAGATAGCTTTGAATGAATCACAACCGTATTGCACAACCAGCTAAATGAATTTGGCTGAAGTGCTAATTGTTTGCATGAACTGCATCTATTGCATTCATCACCGTTCCTTGAAGAATGAGAAATACTGTTCATCACATAAAGAGGTTTGTAGGATGGTGCCTGGTGTGCAAATCTGTGCTACTGCCAGTGTTCAAACTGCTTTATACACTAGTTCGAGATTGGAGCATCAATGTTGAAAAAAGACACTCATATTGAGAAATTAGATATTTTAAATTCTGCTTATGAAACCGGAAGAATAAAGTGGGTGGTTATTGCCTTTTAAAATCTGAATCTCTGTTCAGGAAGAAGCAGGTTTGTGAGTGGTGGTTCTGCAGATAAGGAAATCAGTACCACCTGGCTCTAAAGGCTGCCAGTAAGCTCTAACCTTGTGGTTCCAACTTGAAAACTCCCAATTACTGCAAGCAATGCAAGTTTTTCTTTTCCAGAGGTTTGTAATTTATAGCCAATTAAATCCAGGAAGTTATTGAAGGTTCAGTGTAGTGCAAAAAGACTGTAGTACACACATCCCAATAATTTGTGGTACTCTAGTTGATAAGAAATGTAGTTATATGCAGTGGTTTACCACACCCTAAAGTCTTGTGTGTGTATATTTTATGTGTAAGTGTATACAAATATTTATTAAGCAAACGTCTGTCTCATCAATCATTTAACTTAGGACTGTCTGTAAACATACTGCATATTTTCCAGCAATCATTGCATTTGACAATGACTTTATTTGCAATATTTTATTGTATCGGTTAACTTGCGTAATACAATTTAGTTTTAAAAGATTATAAATGAAAACTGTCCAGGGTTACAGCTGGATATACAACTGTATGGCTAAAGCTAAGTTCCTTCAATAGGAATGCTCATCAGGTACATCTTTCTTCCCCTTCCCGTCCCCCATAAAATTATAGTTATACTTGTTTATCTGTGGTTTTCATTTCCCCTCATACAAATACAGGATTCAAAAAGCATACCTTTTTTAAAATATACCAAAATTTGCTAATTCTGAGGGGAAAAAACATATTAAACACCTAGTCATTGGTCACTAACTGTAGATGTGTTTTATCCAATATAATTACATTTTGAATAAGTTGTTTTAGTGATTCCTGAGCTGTCTATCTGTATGTCTGTCTATTATAGGTATCCAAATAACCTTAGTACTTAATGAAATTAAAACTCCACAACTTAACCTATTGGGTATATTAAACCCAAGAAAAATGATGACTATGACTAACAACAAGTCTATTTTTTTCAAACATGGTACTGTTTCAATATAATCTGCCACTGTGAAGACATGTGTTTGAAGTTGCAAATCCTGTGCAGTAATTTCTTGAATGGTGGTGTAGGGACCAGCACTGAATGGAAACCGTGAATTTCTTTTGTGCCCTGTGCATATACTTGGGTGTGCATTTACTGAGCTCCGCTTTACTTGGGCGCAGAATGGATTGGTGAATGCTCTTCAGAGCTGGTTGTATTATTGTGGTCGAGTGACTTAAAATTTCTATTTTATAGCACCATATCAAATCAGTGCCTGTAGCATAACTGGCATAAAACACTTACATGCACTGTTTGTCTTTCTGAAAGGTTTTTTTGTGTGTGTGTGTGTGTTTTGGGGGGTGAGGGGGGGATATACTGATTTAAACTATTTCTGTGTGGCTGATTTGGTTTTGTCTTAGATAAATGTTACGAAAACGTTCACAAACTATTTCCTGTCACAAAACCTAAAAAATTAAGTTGCAACTGAGGTTACAAAGACTTCTCTGAGTAAATGTGGTTTGCCCCTTAGGCCAGCTCAAGTTTACTTAATCAGTTTTAATACGTTTAGTGTTGGGTTTGAGATTAGGGAGTTTAGACAGATGTCACTAAAATCATACAGCCAGTTCCAGGATAGTCTTGAAAGCCCCAATCTAGGAATGTCAAAAGTACCACAAAACTACAGTGTATTACTATAAAACAATGTGCATTGCTTTAATACACAAACAAATTTGGCATCAACAAATTAAAGGGAGAGATTGAGGGCATATTTTGTTGCACATCTTTTCAGATGATCAGAAGTGATTTTCCCTGTCAATGCTCTGTGTGGTCTTAGGGCTGCTGAACGAGTTGCAGTTACACGAGTGATGCAGGCAGGCAGCTGAGACTAAACTGCTCACGTGCCACTTTTCAATTGGGGGAATGGGGGAGAGACAGCTTTCGTGAGCAGTCTTAGTAAGAGAACAGTTAACTGGGTAGTTAGCTCTTGAAATTCAAAGTTAACACATTGAGTTCACCTAAATTCTTATTAATGTTTAATGTTTGGGTAATATTGATTGGGATTAGTGATTGAGATCGCCTTGGGATGATGACCTGCCGACGGGAAAGGCGCTGTACAAATGTGATTGCTGTTGTTGTTGGACATTAACCAGCCGTTGAGATTGCTTCAAGATGATCTCGCCACCAGCTTCAGATTGCCAATTCCTTCAGTATTCTGCTCCGCCTGTGTCGGTATGTTGTTGGGAAAGATTGCGCAAAGATCACCAGAGCAACCGGGGCCTTCATGAAGTAAGAAGTAAGCACGGTGAACAGTTGCACAATATAAACTTTAAAAATCTATAACTCCGCTTATAGCATAATGCACAGATATCTTTGAATATTTCATTTTGATGGCAGTTGAATCTTTTGGTTCAGATTGATAAGGTTTTTTTTTCCTACACGTTTTTTNCAGTCGAAGGACAAATAGGTGATTTGATGCTTTACCTCTGCTGTTGCTGAGTGTTTGAGAAGACTGCCTTTCCCTCTGTTTTCACAAAAGTACTTGTTTTCCCCTCGCTCGCCTGAAACAACTGGATTGAGAACGAAAACTAAATGTGTGGGAGTCACAACCTTCTGCATTAAACAAGTTGTTTGCGTTTTTTTAGCAATTTTAAATTACATTTTCCGACAGCTGGCTCAGCAATGGCACAGGGCGGAGGCCTAGAAGCGTCTTGTCTGCCACTTGGTATGATCACAGATGATGTATCGCTGGGAGTAGCTACAGTGGGAGGGAGGCAGAGCAAATAAATTGAAAATAATACAATTAGGAGTTTGTCAAACAGGATCTTAGGCAGGGGAAGGGTAGTGGCACATTTTTACACAGGTACCTGTGCTGTTGCCATCTATGGATCAATTATTTTGATCTGACTATTCATCCAGTGTAACTGGCATAAATCTCACATTGGAACTAATGTGGAGTAACTATGATGCTACAAATGGGGATATTAGTGTCAGTTTGTGGTTGGTTAACCCTTAGGAGCTGCATCAAATCATTTGTATCTGCTGTTTTAAGTTCTCCACCATGTCTTGACTTTTACATTCATACAGCGTTGACGGGAAGTATTGTAGCTCAGCAGTTTCAATCCTGAACGCCTGGGGAATTGAGTCTGAATGAGAGTACACTATATAGCAAGATCCAGAAAATCTAATTTGGTGCAATGTGAGTTCTAATTGCCCTTCTGCCACATCCAGGACTGGACACGGGGGAATAACGCACCTCTGTCAAATGTTCAAAGCACAGAGCAAGACTAAGTCTGTTGGCCTGGGGAAATGTTTTTGGAGAGGGAGAAATGTAGGAGAGAAATCTGCTGGAAAGTTTCTGGGTATGAAAAGTAAACAAAGGCCACTTAGAAAACAAACTGCTAATTTTAAAATAGACTAAGGCAATTGAGGTGCACTGCAGTCTGATATCCTCTGACTTTCCTTTATTAAATGGAGATTTGATATGAAAGGCAACGGTCAAGTCATTGCTAAAATGGCTTTATGAAAGAATTTCTACAAACTCTACCCCTAGGCAATATCCCACAGCAGGAAATGAGCCTGGAACTAGCTGAGAGACTTTATCTATACAGTAGCTGCCACTTATGTTCAATCCAAAGAAATTGAATCCCTTAATACTATGAGTATTAGCACTGAGTGTTGTTTATAGACATCAAAGCCAGATTTGCCAATGTTTTCAATACAGACACAAAGGTCACTGTTTCTGCATACACAAAGGGAGCATGTGATTTACGAACTGTGAAACTAAGGCAGACCAAGGTGGCTTACTGCTCTTCTGATCGTTGAATGGGACAATAGTTTAATGTGTTTTTTTTCCCCCTAGAGTCTCTGTGGCCCAAAATTGGAGTTCCCTTGAAAGTTGTGAAAACCAAAGAAAACAAACTGAGCAACAGGTTCTTTCCATATGATGAAATTGAAACTGAAGCTGTCCTGGCGATTGACGATGACATCATTATGTTGACTTCTGATGAATTGCAGTTTGGTTATGAGGTGAGTCTGTGCTGTTTGTCATGGAAATGTTTTCACACCTACAATTTGGGCTGAAATGACAAATCTGCCTCCAGTGTTTGTGCCTCATATAGATATATCATTCCACCAAAGCAAACATGTTTCTCACATTACTGTAGGTTCCGTGTACAAAACACACAACCCAAATAGCATGACTGTACTTGTGTGTACTTATAGAGGGGCCTATTTGTGCAGAGATTATCATCAGATGAGACCCCAGACAGAATATTCTCTTTGATCACCAAAACAGCCTCTCCTGCTCTCAAATATCAGCTCCACTCTCACAGCTTTCCTATTTCTTTTTTTTATTTAGAGGAATGTTCCTTTCAGTTTGAGCATGGATCTACTGTAATCTGTCCAATACTTCCTTCAACTTGACAAATATTCAGCGCCCACAAAACACACGCCATCACTCACCTTTGCAGTCTGTCCAGTGAAGCGCTTTGAGGCATCTTGATGACGTGATGAGGTGCTATATCAAATACAAGAATTATTTTTATATTATTATATCTGTCTAGAGATTTCTGGTTGAACCAAAGAGGATTGCTTCCAAGATAAAGACCAACCAGATCAATCAGAGGAGATTACCTCAAAATGTTTTAATTTTTATTTTGTTACCATAAATGAAATTTAAAACGCATGGAATATACTTTCTGTAGTAGTTATTATTGCTCTGTTTTACACACTTGAGCAATCCCCCAAATCTGACTTTCAATGTTTTTGATGATATGAATGATCTGCAATTTGCCTCATTCGGCTGTGAGATACACCTATCTGAGCTGAAATCCCAACATGGAGCTTGAGTTGGTGCTGCCAACCAAGATGAACTGACATGGTGAGTGTGGTGGAAAAGAATTGTACATGATACAGATGAGCCCTGTGCAACATGCACCAGAATTCAGAGGGTCCAGGGGGTAATGCATTATTACTTTACTTTGATTGTTGGGCAGCTGTGATTAAAATAAGTTTTGAAAAGGTCTGTTTTAATAACTTACTAATTTGTGTTCAGAAGCATAACTGATTTACAATGGATTCATGCCATGGGGCCCAAATACAGGGACTCTATCACATGCAGTCAGTCGATAATTTAGGTAAATGTAAATCCTGGCAATTCAGACATTATTTTATGTATCATATTATCGGTGTATCTTTGTTTAAATTTATTAAGGCTGGGTGCTGACTTTATCATCAGGATATTAATTATTTAGAAATGTCAACCTAGTGAATGTATGAATGAAATGTTTTCAAATCCTCACAAACAACTCTTAACAAGCAGCTGGTCTCCAGAAATTGCCATATTATTGTTTATTTTCCTAATTATGATACTCGACGATTACAAATGAAGTAAAGTGCATTCCCCAAGCTATATTTTCTGAATCATAAGCACATGTCTTGGCAAACCTCATGTAAGTACAACTGTGCATTCACCTGGAGTCACTTAAAATACTATTGGGACAATTTTGGTAATTTAAAAAATAAATCAGTAATTTTAATTCAGGTATTGCGTGATGCATTTAAAATTTGAGTCCAGTTTCTATTACGATTCTAGATACTTGGAAAAGGACCAAATTTCAATTACAACTTTCATTCTTCATATATTTTAGCCCATAAGTAAAACAGACACAGTGCTTAAATCATCTCACCGCACATTTTGAAGAATTTGGCTCAGAACAGAAAGATTGCTCCATATGAGCACAAACCTCCTTCATTCTTACATAATTTTTTGAATAGTGGACAGGTATTATCACAAAACACTTCTTCCTCATTCAGTCAGTCTCCACAAACAAATACTACAGTAAATTATCTATCACTGGGCTGGAAATTACTGTTGTATTAAATTGAATGGCAGTAATCTTCAACTGAATGAAACAATGGGTTGCTTTCTTCTCATTTTTAGAATAAATTTATTATTTTGCTGAAACAAAGTGAGCTACTTTGATCCATAGTATTTAGTAATTGCATAGCTATTTGATATGTCAGAATATGAGTGTTAGCTAATAACATTCTACACAAATTCTTCCCTCTTTAAATTAATATAGCAATTACACAGCAGCCACTGCATAAAATTGCTAAAACTGCTTAAGGCTGTTTTGCATAGCACAAAGCTGCTATGCAAATAGCCTTAAAACTCGAGGGAAACTTGTAAAGTGAATTGACTATGTTTTGTGGATGAAATGCGGCAGCCAATTGTGCACACACACCAATGTCCCATAAACACTTGTGGATTAAATGACTAAATTACTATTATTTATTTGTTCATTTTTTTTAAGGCATTATTACTCCCAGAAAAGCGATCCACCAATTGACTTACAAGCGGGTTCCTACTTACTGCTAGGTAAACAGAGGTGTGTGGAGTAAGGAAACGTGCGCAATGCTTCGTCCTGCCTGGGAATCAAACCCAGGTTACTCTCGCTTGTGAGGCGAGTGCTCTAACCATAAAATTACAGAACTCAGAAGCCTCTGAAGCAATTCTGAGTCACATTAAAGAGACCTGTGGTTTTGACTTGCCTGTTTGATTCTGTTAGCTGTACTTTTTTTTAAAAAACAAGTTAATGATGGTGTTAAATGCTTTCTCCAGCTTCTCATAATGATGAAGTGTTTGGTGTTGCGTAGGTGTGGCGTGAATTTCCTGACCGGTTGGTGGGATATCCAGGCCGCCTTCATCTCTGGGACCACGAGACTGCCAAGTGGAAATATGAATCTGAATGGACAAATGAGGTCTCCATGGTACTTACTGGAGCTGCCTTCTATCACAAGGTGCAGTAGTACAGAACAGCAGTTCAAACCTTTCGAAGAGGAGGGGTAGCACTAGTGGAGGGGTTTACAAATGTTGGTATTTAACAACTACGTTTAAGCATAAAAATTGGAAATAGCTCTTAGTTGGTTAAACTTTTAAAATGCTGGCATTCTTCTAATGACATATAATTCTTTTTCATTCGCTTAGTATTTTAACTACTTGTACACATACAAGATGCCAGGAGACATAAAGAGCTGGGTAGACGCTCACATGAACTGTGAGGACATTGCTATGAACTTCCTGGTGGCTAACATGACTGGCAAAGCACCTATTAAGGTAAGATGGTTTTAGGTGTCAGAAAAATAACATAATAATTCTTAAATTTAATCTAACACTTATATAACACTTTCCTGTCCGGAGGACGTCTCAAAACACTTTATAGGATATACAGTAAGGTATAGTGATTTTGTAGTTCTAATCATACGTATAAACGAAAACCATTTGCTTATTAATGTAGAAAACTTACATGGGTAATGTTTTAAAATTTATTTAAAAACAGATTAGATTACAATTAGACAGAAGATGCTAAAATATTGTATTCCTGCTATGCAAATATTGAAACAATTATATTATTAGGTGTTTCAATTGAGCTTTTAATGTTATGTCGGTAGCAATTGTTCAAAGGGACGACCTGCTTCATACAATCTGTATTAAAAGGATTGCAGTTCAGAAGGGTTTATAGAAGCCCACTTGGGCACTGTAAACTTTGTCACCTTCGCAGTCTCTAAATATTTACTGAAACTGTCAGTCAATTTAATGAGAAAACACATATGGGTTAATAAGGCCATATCAAAGCAGAGGAAGCAACATTTCACCGCCTTCTGATTGGAAAGGCAACCACTGCTTGTAAGAGGCGCCGTGAAGTGTGAAAACTATCATTAAATGGATTTTAATGGGTTGTCATCGCACGTTCTTCAATGAATATGAAACCTTTCTAGTGATTTTTATTGACCTCTTGTGAGTTGAAGTATGCCTCAGTGAGCCAGATGGAACGCGAGCAAAATGTTCTGAAAGGACGGTGCTCTCAGATTACACTGCAGGCGTGCTTGAACATCTCGCTGGATTAAACATGCCATTAATATTGTTGGAATTATTGTGACACACAGGTGACCCCACGTAAAAAGTTCAAGTGCCCGGAGTGCACAGCAATTGATGGGCTGTCACTAGACCAAAGCCATATGGTGGAACGGTAAGTGCTCCATTCCTCCCCATGTATTTAACAGCTTGCCTCTGCCATTTCAGAAGTGTCCAAGAAAAATACCCGTGACTGGTTCCAGATTTACAACCCGCTTGGAAAATGTTAAGTTATTAGCTTCTGCTGAAAGGATCTCTCTCCCTAGTAATTGTTCAGTTTTAAAATAGTTTCCCAAGCTTACTTAACAAACTACTTCTAAGTAACAGAATCCCGAGTTTCAAAACTATTACACGGAGCAGGTGTATTACAGAAAAGTTTGAATGTCCAATAGTAAGGTTTTCTTTACCAGATTTGAAACAGACAAGAGCAAAAACACCAACTCCCAATTTTGGCGATCTGCACAGGCTTTTGAGATCGTTAAAGTGAGTTAACTGCAACTTTTACCGCCACCACTTTGCTCCTGAAATCATTCTCCTTCAAGTGGGGTCCGAAGCGCACCTCTCGGAAGGTGAACACTGTCTCAGCCGACATTTATACTTCATGTTTGGCTTTGATTCACTGCTGAAATTGCGGCATTTGTGCAAGTGGATTAGTCGATGTGCTTGCTCTGCATCAGGTCCAATTATTAGCCATTTATATATGCTATATATATAGTTGGTTTTATTTGTGTAATGTATGAACACCCAAACAAAAGTGCATAAATCAATAGGACAGTCAAAACCTGTGTACCTTTTACAATCAAAATGTAGATTGCAGAAGTCATTATTTTAGTTTTTAAGGAATGGAAAGAAATTGAGGAAAATTCCTCAGTGGTGTATTTGAAATGTAAAGAATCTAATGAGCAATATCTTATTTCATATCAAATATAAAGGCTGCTCGATCCGGCCAACATTGGAGCCTTTACAATTCTAATGTTGCCTTAAAACAGGGGGAGCTGGTCTCGGTTCTGTTGAAGCGATTTAATTCCCATCCTACACATTATCACAGTTCACACAAATGTCATGTGTCTAACAAGGAATTAGCAAAACTGTTCAGATCTTAATTGTTCTCCTTAGATCAGAAAATTGTAGGAATATAGTTAAAAGAGATGGAATGCTTTTTCATTTTCAAGGCTTATTTAGATGGACAAAAGGCAAATGAGCAAGCAATAGTATAATTTAGGGGCGTGAATGTATTTCATCATCAAAATCAGAAAGGTCAAGATATAGTCGAATAACCTCCCTCTATACTGTAATTTCTGCAAAACATGCACGCAAGTGATCTCATTTGTCATTCTATAAAAAATGTTTCTGCTATAGCAGATTTCAGCCAAATGCCTGCAGGACACATGCAGCCTTTTTGAGAAGTAATTAAACTATTGTATCTCTGAGGCTTTCCGTGGATGGCAGAACATGTGATGCAGATGCAGTGTAAACAATTATTTTAAAATCTATCCATCGTACAGCAAACAGATGTGAACTTCAGACATAACCCCACAATGTCCAGAACACAATGACATGATGCAAGTTTTGCCATAAGCGGTGAAAGCAGCTGACAAGAATGAGAAATGACTATGAACTAACAGGATTTTGCTTATAAGCATATAACACTATTGTTGGCAGAGATAATAAGTGTTACTTAATGTTTTATACTGTTAGAAAAGCTGGTGCTGCATTACAAATGAAACTATAAAATGTGCATCCACACACAGGCGTTTTTGTTTAAAAAAAAAATTATTTTGCATTTTAAAATGTTTCCTCATTGCTTCATCATGCAGTAGCTCAGAAGACACTTCAATGAGCTGTTCTTGGGCATTGGTCTGTGGTGCTCAGTTAAAAGCCACAAGAAACTATGCCCAAGATTACTGTCTTCCTGAATGTCCCAATGTTAGGAATGCCTTGCTCCTGACCTCTCTGAGATAAGGAACTAGCCAAAGAGGCAGGGCCTGACATGTTGATTACCATTGAGGACAAAGCACCACCACCTCAATGTGCCTTAGATTTTCTTTCTGGTGCAAAATGCTTGTTTGCAAATTACTTTAGTTGACGGAATAAGAAATTGACGCTTTGCTGACTAAAATTTAGGAGCATTTATTCAAATTATAAAAGAATGAGTGCTTCAGTTCATTTTGAATTTGTACTATAATGGATAACTGCATTCTCCCTCCCTATGGGAGCCTCCAGTGGTAATTTTGCTGGCACACATTAGCTATTCCGTTTGTCTTCATAATGTTCGCTTCATAGTAATCTTATTCTTTAAACACTTCAGGTTGTTCCTTTTATGGGAAAGGTGCTATAGGAAGATTATTTTCCTGCTTAGCTCCTACTCTCAAGTTTGACAGATAGAATGGCAGAAAGTGATCAATGCAGGATATACAGAGAGAGATTTGTCATCTCATAATGGTGCCAAGCTATCGTTTCATTTTTTTAAAAATTAATGTAAAGCGGTTGAAGAATGCTTGGAATTTTTCTTGTAAGTTCCACTTTCAGCATTCTGATGACCTCTATTGTGCAGATGTTGAGTCTGATAGTGTTTTGTTAGAGGTGAATGAATGCATATATAACATGAGTCTAATTGCAGGTCAGAATGCATCAATAAATTTGCATCTGTGTTTGGGATCATGCCCCTGAAGGTGGTGGAGCATCGAGCTGACCCTGTTCTGTACAAGGATGACTTCCCAGAGAAGCTGAAAAGTTTCCCCAATATTGGCAGCTTGTAAAATATATTTAGAGCCTTGTTTGCTTCGAGTGCCCTGTCCCTCTCCATGAACTGCAGCCGGCTTTCAGTGAAGACCAGAGACTATGATTTTAAATCTCAGCTCAGCACCATTTCAAGTGTCTTACTGTGTTTTAATGGGGTTTATTAATTTAGGGATCTGAAAACTACAGTGGCTTTTTTCTTTTAAAAGGTTACAGGATTCTGCTGGTTGATCGTTAAAGACCATTGAGTAAAACCTGTCTTGACCTTTTGGTTCAATGTTTTTACAATACAAGTGTATTGTGAATGATGAAAATAATCATTGAAATTGGAAATATAAATGGCTACCAGTGCTATAAGAGAGTTCTGCAGCCATACCCAAAGCTTAGGTGGGGCCAGCAAGTAAAAGCCTATCCTTCTGAGACAGCACGTAATATCAACTAGCTTTAAATGGTTAAAGCTATATATTTACACATTATTTTTATTTTCTTTCAAAGAATTACCTGTTAAACAGCAGTCTGTTTTTACAGTTTTTTATGTAATGAGTTTTTTTTAACCTTTACACTGAATTCTACAGACACTACTATTAGAAATGGAGAATGTTCCTGATGGCGTAGCTAATTATATTGTGTAATGTTTTCCAGCAGCTGCTTTATACCATTTTAGCACCACAACATCCAGTTAATTGTCTAATCCTAGGAGTTCACGCCGAAGTAATTTCTTAGCGGGGATTCAGTACTTGGTGCAGACTGGCATTAAGAATCGTGACTTTTTCTTTAAATGTTAAACTTGTGCTGTGTAATATTAAGGTGCATTCAAATCCTCCCAGGGAGCAGAGCAATGTACATTTGGGGAGATTGTTAATGCGTAATGACTGAAGGCAAATGACGAATAATATTATCAGTACCATATGCTGCAATCTTACGAGGATTAAGTTCTCAATTGATCTTGAGCTTTTGATGTTTATATACATCCTCTGTTTATTTTATATCTGTATCAAGTAGCATTTGGTTTGCTGATGATTCTGTCCTACTGTCTGTGTTGAAATGTTGAATCGGATTGTCTCTGTAGATTTACCGCAACATTATTGTATGAAATTGTAATGGTTTAAACACATCAGTTCCTCCTGTGCCTACTCCAGCTCCGAGCTATGCTCCACGTGTGATGACTGTTTCCATCTAACAGTGTTTTTACAAAAATTGTTTATATGTTCTTTCATTTTTAAATCTGCAAGAATTTATCCCAAAAGTTTTGTCTGGGAGTAAATGTGATTTCTGCACCTCTCTCCTCAAGGTCCAAATTATTTCAGCCACGTGAAGCATTAAGTATACAAATATTGTATTGATGTCCAGATAAAACTCAGTTCTACATGTGAATTCATGTAATTTTTTTAATTCTGCATATGCCAGTAAAAAAACAATCCATGCCGACTAAAGTATTTACTTTCTTCTGTTGATGAATTGAATCACTTTTAAATGAAATCATACTGCATAATGTTTCTGAAAGATTAGGTTTCTTCAGATGAAGAACATTTATCTGCTTTGGTGTAAGAATTATTCTATTAACACATTAATCATGTGCTTAATCGGGAATACTGAAGTCACCCACTATGAATGCTTGAATGCTTTTCTGTCACTTGCCAGGAGTGGCAGATTTGGGCACAGAGCAAATATCGTCCACACGTGTGAATTTGCAAGAATCCTCAAAAAACAATATTTCACAAAATGCTTTCTGAGGAAACAGAGCTAGCATGTCGCACACTAAAGGTTATGAATCAGATATTCATTGGCACATATCAAATGGGTATTTAGTGGCAGATAGTCTTTAAAATATTACATTTTTTATGACAGGAAAAGATCAGTAGGTTGCCTGGATTAATCCCTAAATTTAGACTTTTAGATCTTCATAATGAATAGCATGTCCATTGCTGGGACTGGCTGAAGACAAAATGTTTATACTTTTCTGCTGTGTCTGTTCAGTCAAGAGTGGCAAAAACCTGCTTGTGACATTGTCGTTTACGATTACCATTTCTTTGTGTTTTTAATCAAGTGCAAAGTGTTGCCATATTTGCAGTGTACTTTATTTGCAACTGGTCCCCGTCAATTGAATGTAAATGGCCCGGCAGATTTCACAAATGGACAGAACTGTATAATGCAAGTCATATGATTGGCCATTGTAAATATTTTATGCATTGAATTCCCATTCAATTGCGGAATTAAAGTGGTCGGTCCTGAGATAATTAAGTAGACAAGCTAATGGTCGATGATTTTTAATATAAAACAAAACCACTGGATGAAATATTTCTGTCTGGCTCTAATCTAATCTAACCCTGATGTCACTTTATATTAATGTAGCATCTGACATCATTTAGATCTCAGCTGCCGGTTGGTAGATGCAGCATATTCTGCTATTAGTTTACAAACCAGGAAAAATACAAAATAAACTTATTAATAACGACAGTTTTATGACTAATGTACTAGTGTTGGACACTGAGTTTGCCCTGAACTTTTATCTCTCAGCATGTTCTGCGATTCGCACTATTCAAGATGTAAATAGAAACTGTTTGTGAAATGTTTGCTAAAAGTAAAGAATTTTGAAAGGTTATTAATAGGTGCATGTTACTATGTTTAACTTTCATTTGTAGATGGTCTGTTTTTCTAACTAAATGACACTGTGCCAGGTTGCTGGTGTATCTCATCTAGCACCTGTTAGTATAACTTCTGTAATCCTTTCTGTACTCTTGTCAGCAGTTCAGAAGGGCAATGTTTGTATTTTTGTCTACTCCAGTTAATGTGAGACTTCAATGCTCTCAGGATCACATTTCATCCCCTATCCAAAGAAAATAGTAAATTTTTTTCAGTAGGAAAAGACAATTTTTTTTATTTGGTTGGTTATACCTATCACAACAGTACATCCCATTCTGACCCTCTCTGTTACAGTCACCTAAAAATTACATATATGTAAAACCTTATCCTAAGTGCAATAACTTACTTGCCAAACAATACAACACAAGCAAATTATAAGTTCATTTCTCACAGTAATGATGAAACACTGTTCTTTCGGATGCAGTATCGTTTATTGAATGTAACCTAATTGCACCCTTTCCTACGCATTATATTTATATCAAGGCAGTTAAAGCTAAAGGAAAATTGAGTTTACAAGGTTAAAATATTTTACAACAAATTATAACAGTAATATTTTCGAGACTTGCTCTCGACCAAAAGTACACAACACACCCAAACAGATATATTACTCTGAACTTCAACCTTCTGCTTCAGTAGTATAAGTAATAGCAATGGGGGTGATTGTTGCAAAAGATAATTACATTTAAAACTGTATAACATTTCATTTTGGTATATTTAGAACATTATGCAATAAAAGATTTCTTTACTAGTTGTAAGACATCTTTTTAATTTTTTTTAGATTTTGTAAACTTTGCAAGATCTTAAACAACTGTTGCTAGTATAGGTCAGTGCGCAGGACTAGACTCCCAGGTTTTTATAAGTATAAAATCAAGTAAATGTTCTTGGAAGGTTTAAAATTTTATTTCAACTTGATATCCAGTTTATTTTAATGAAAGATTCTAACAAAATGAAATTATCATTAAATTCGTAGTCAATAAAGAGGCCGTGTAACAGGATCACTAAGACACAAGGGCTTGAACCAATATAAAGCAAACCTGAATTTACCCAAATAGTATTGACTAAAAAACAAAAACCCTTGGTTTGTGCCATGAATTATATTCAGAAACCCCCAAAGAGAAAATGCTCAGTAATGTAATTACATGTTTTCTAACAAATTGGTATTTTGCTGAATTGATGAGATGATGCCAGATGTTCAGTGTCCACTTTGAATAATTTAGACCTACAATTTTTTGTATCATAACACAGAGATTTGTTGCATCATAACACATTGGTATCGCTGCCTACATGTATTGAATATATTTATCTTTTTGTTATTATGATCTTGTCAGGAGAATATATTGTACGAGAGAATCATTCAACCCGGTTTACAAACGACTAGGCATTCTATAATATTAGTGTGTGTACAAGTTTTTTTCTGTCATTTCCTCTAGGCTTTGTCGAATATTTTATCAATTGTAGATTTAGCTCCAAATAGAAACCTCAATTTTTCATTGGATTTTTACAAGCTTCCCTCTCTACATTTAAACAAAATCTAAACAGGATATCAATTTCAAATAAAACTTTAGATTGTGAATCATTTCATGGTAGCTCTTGTAAGAGGTTTATTATAAATATTGTTTAAGTTTATGTAAACCTCGCTTCTAATCCTCCCAACCTATAATAGGCAAAGTGCTGCATATAAATCTCCATGTTGTCTTATGTCTTTAGTCCAGCATTATGTAGTAATGTATTATTTTTTCAGTGTTTGGATAACTCAAGATTTCACGGTCATGTTGCCCAAGATATAGCAGCGCTGTGCTCTTTGGCTTTCATTCTTAGGGCTGCAATGCTGGATGATTTTCGGTCTGGTTCATTACTGATGTCAAATGCGTTGATGGCAGCCCCTATCCCAGCAGTGCCAAAGAGACCACCCATATGTGTCTGTCCCACGTGGCTGCCAGGGGCAGAAACACCCAGATAGTCAGCTACCCCACCTGGTGCATGTGCGTGTGCATGTGGAGACATGCAGGATGTTACCGTTTCGCAGGGCACAACACAGGCTGGAACTGGAGAAGAGGTGCCATTGTTACCAATCCAAGAGGGGTTTTGTATCTGAAACAAAACGAGACAAAGGGTCAGTTCTACCTGTGCAATAAAACTTATTTTTCTAAAGCTCGCTAGCAAATTGACTTGTTAATTCTCTGATTACTTTTAAAAGTATGAAAGGCGCTCTACAAATGTAATTTTGTTGTTGTATGAAGAAGTGGTTAATTTAAAAAGAACTTTTTAGTCCTGTTAATGTTCTTATAATGAACCAAGTGTATAACTCCTTAACAATATGGATTCCGAATAATATTTGGGATTTCAGCCAGGTTCATCACTTTGAACCCAATGTCACTTGTGATGCTACCGGCTTATTCTATTGGAAAATTAACATAATGTTGCAACAACAGACCGAAATAACTTATATAATATACCTTGTAGAGTATAACATATTTCAATGTTTTAAAAATCATGGTATCGAACTTTTGGGGAAGGGGAAAGGACAGAAAAATATTTTGGAAATTAAGCATTAGAATAAATGTTGATGTGCAAAATCACTTGATATATTTCATTGGAATAGCACTGGGGCCTTTACAGGGGAGGGAAACGCCAGGAGACTGAGTTAGAGAAGGAATGTGATTTGGGGGCAGCTACTGATGTTTGAAGATCTTAGCATTCCATCCAATTCCCTCCGTAGATGCCTCTTGTTCCTACTGCAAACTTTGACCTCAAAGGAATTAATTTGGATTGTGCTGTATACTTGGGGGAAGCGAGGAGAAGAAGCAATGGAAGCTATTTGGTTAGCTAACTTGCCTTGTGCTGTACTTTCAACTATCGGGCAATTTTGTGGACAATAGAAGTTGTGTTTAATTGTACTGGAATCTAACAATATGTGCAATGTGCAAAAACTTCCTCAATCTGAGATTTTCATGCCACAGGATGGATATGCTATCTGTATTTTGTGTACAGATTGGAGCTTGGCAATTATTTTCTGTAATTGATTGGCAGATGTACAAATGCTTTTACAGTTGCATGCAGAAGCATAATGAGGATTTACTATTTTGTGATAAACCTTTCATGGAACTGTGCTGAACGCCAGCTGGTCAAATGAAAATACAGGAGTAAAATAATCCACGTGGGTCTTTTTTGCAGAACCAAATGCTGTTGCATTTGCTGAGCTGCATCTTAGCAGAGTTTTACCAAGAATATATTTGGATTTAGAAACTACGCTAAGGAACCTGCCAAGTGTCAATCGTTTTTTTTAAAAAAAAACAAAACACACACAATCAAATACCTTCACACTCCAAAAAATAAACCCAACTCTATATATTCCAAATGGTTTGCTTTCTGTGTCGCCATCTCTCTGATCACAAGCTTACTCCTAGCATTTCTCTTGATTTTGAAAACTGCATCGAACTAAAAGGAAGCATACCGAATTAATTTCCATGAATTAACCTGGCAGACTTGATTAAATTTTTACCTTTAAAGGACAGGTGGGGGGGGAATGGAAATACTGCTTTCAATTCTAATGTCCAACCGCAGATCAGACTAAAAATAGCCACTGTTACCACAGCAGAAAGGGCTCCACCTGCCTCAATGGGATGGTCACCGCTGCCTGGAATCTAACTGTGGGTCAATCACCTAAAACATGGACCATCCCCAAATGTCCCCCGCACAGTTGAGAGAACGTGAGGTCCCACATTCAAAAGTACTACTCTTGGTGTTGCTCATCTGAGCTATCTTCAACCCCCCCCCCCAATGGAAATGATTCCATTGCATTAGGAATGTTCCTCTCTGCGGGACTCGACAATAACATTGTGGGATGCAATAGTAATAAGCCCATAATGCGATCCCACAACGCACAAGACTTTGAAGCCCCCAGACCTGGCTGTAAAACAGTCCCACCCATGTCTCTGGAGACAATCCAGAAGCTTGATGCCTCGATTTATTTTATAGCAAAAGCATCTCAAAACGTGCGCTTTTTTTTTTTAAGTGCACAGTCACTGTTTTCCCAGTTGTCTCACCGAGAACCCGCTTTGCTCGTGGATTTCCAGGCAGCGGTTTATCAGCTCAAAATAAGGGACACGCCTCAAATCAAGCAATCGACTGATAAAAGAATGAAAATAATAATTCTGATGTACGCGACCCTTCAGGGATATCAGAACAGCTGCTGATCAGGAAAGAAGGGGTTGAGGCGAATTCCCCTTTGTGGACCAGTCCCCCCCCCACCCCTCAAAAAAAAAAAAAATTGTAAAATAATAAGAGTGCGGCGCAAAACGTTTCAAGCTGCACAGTTTTATCGGTGTAGGTTGCACTGACCCGAGTTAGATGGTCTACGTCGAGAAACTGATACAATTGAAAACGAAAGAAGCAGTTAATTAACTTTTGCGAGACATTATTTAGGGGAGGGGTGGGCGAAGGTCTAAGTGGGTCATCCGTTCAGAATCACCGTGTCCTGTTCTGCTGAGGCAACGCAGCAGAAACGTTTTAGAGTGCGTACTAATAACTCGATTGAAATTATAGGTTTTTAGGACGTAGGACATTTTTCAAAGCACACGTACTTACTTATTGGGAACTCTTATTTCGCTACCGACTGAAGTTCTTTGAAATGAATATGACTTCGCTGTCAGGGTCAGCAGGTTGTTTAGCTTATGTCGGGTTTACAGAACATTTTCTTCAAAAGTAGAACTTTATTCGACTTTTAAACCCTATAATTATTCCGACTCGTGATTTATGTCGTTAGCACAGGAAGCTAACACAGCGGGGACCTAAATATGAACCCAGTCTGGGCTGCTGAGGGGAACATTTTCTACTGCGTTAGCGAAAGAAAAGCCCTATTGAAATAAATGTGGATTATGTCAGACTGGTGTTTAGTGGGTATGGATTCACAGTGAAGAAAAAAAAAGCCCAGAAATTGACCTTAAATGTTCAGTCTCGCGATTATGCAGTCGAGCAATTGGAGCGACTTTAATAACACGCCACAAAAAGGGCATCGGTGCAGTTGCCACCTGACAGGTGCTCGACTGTTCCAAGGAAAGATTCATCTCATCAGCCAAGAGCCCTCTCCACAGTAAACCAGTGCTTACCTGTGCATAGTTCTCCCTGGTTAGAATCGGTAGTTCGTAGGCAGTGGAGAAGTGGCTTCTGACCTGTTGCATTTGCCCAAAGCGCTCTCTTTTCCTCCATTTAGCTCTTCGGTTCTGAAACCAAACCTAACGCCAGACAGCAGAACAAAACCACATGAATCACTTCCATTTCTGCTCGATGTTACAAGTCAAGAGACAGCAAACGCACACCCAGCCCGAGACTGCCCTCCCTCCTCACGTTACGGATTTGACCCCAGAGATCGTGGTCGACAGAAATCATATTTAGACAATAATTCTCGAGAAAGATGTTTTGAAGTATCTCATCACACTAACAGACACCCAGAAAATCGAAAAGCGTTACCCTAGAATCCAGATTTACGGATTCTAACTCACCCCATTGCCCAGAGAATTGCTTACGACCCCCATCTCTTCGTGGATATATTTTAGAAACACGTTCGTGAGCTTTAAAAAAGGAGGGATTTTCTTTTTTTTAAAAAACTGAAGAGTTGGGATTGTGGGTGGGATGGACCGCTCCAGTTTGTAAACTCGATGGGTGGAATGGCAACTTTTATCCAGTGATTTCCACGATTCCACAAAGACTTCGCTTTAACTGAAGAGCATCGATACAGTGGTTAAATGAAACGAACAACAGATCAATTCTATTTGTGGTTTAAACAACGGCCCCCACCCGTTGTTCTAACCTCTTTCGGGTGCTGTGGGGTTGCAATATTAGCTTCATTCGTTTAAAATGGAAAGCCTTATCAGTTACTGAATATCAAAGTCATGTGTTTGCAGATAGTTACCTAACGCTCACAGCGAAGAGAGAGAAAGAGACCGTTCTCTTTCATGTGAAAGTCAAGAGCCAACCCCCCCCCACCACCACCCCTTTTTTTTCACTGCGAGATTCCTGCAATATCCGTTTACTTTCACTATCACTTCATCTTCGACTGGTTAATGGGAATCGGCCTGGTGATGGCAAGATAACTCCTGTCATCCAATTCGGCCCAAGCGCTCAAAAACAATTGGGAAACGATTCATTTGTCGGCAAAAATTAAAAGACAAATGGGACTCTAATTAGCGAGCATCGAATTCATCGGTGTCGAAGTGAATGGGAAAGTATTTTGTGTACAGCTGTGCACATGCTATTGAATTATTTACTGTCGTTGCACTCTCTTGAATGTTGTGCGGTCTCAACTTTTTAACTTTTTAACTTTTTCAACCTCGTCAATTTTCATCTCCCAAGGAATCCTGCTCTGAATACCGCGTTGTACCGTCTTACTAAACAAACCGACTTCCTGAAAGTAAATTATTCCTTTCGATGACTTTGAATAAAATGGGTTTTTTTCAAAAAAAAATCATGTTACCGAATTGAAACACTTATAACCATCCGTTTCATTACCTTTTTGTTCTCTCTCCCCTCTCATTGAAAAAAACGCTTCCACATTACACAATGCTTTCTGCTGAATAGTGTGCACATGATGGTGATATTTTGCATTGCAGTGTGAATGATATATAATTATATCTAAACTACTGTTACATTTCCTGCTGTTGAAGCGCTTTTGATTTAAACCAAGGTACACACTCCTTATTGGGGGGCGGGGGGGGGGGGGGGGGAATAAAACCGAAAGCTGTCATGTGTTTCCAGGAAGGTGCCATTTCTAAATATAATTATTGTGGTGACAAACGTAGCATCAGTTTTGGTATTTGCATCTCAAATGAGAAATAAGGTGCAGAAAAGACTATGTTACGCCTTTCACTTCATCGATTTGTGGTCAGTTATTAACCCTCCTCCCCCTTCCCCTGAAATGTTAGTGCTATTGATTCACATTGATAGTTTTTTTTAAAAAAAATACATAAGTGGAGACATTTTTGGGGCAAATAACCCGACACAGTCCCCAGTTTCATTAGCCCGATGACTGCGCAACGTTGCAAATAGTTTAGGGATTTGGGAGGTTTTTCTGTCCAGTCTCAAAATCCTTCACACCTCGACTTTGTTTCTCACCATTTTTTTTATTTCACCAAAAATAACCGATAAACCCCTCGAGAACCGCCTGGAAACTCTTCCTCTCGGTTTGATTGGAAATCCTGGAAAGGTGAGTGGCTTTTTTTTTAAAAAAAGAGAGAGAGAGATGGAAAATTGACGAAAAGAAAAGCCAAGCCTTTTAAAAGATGAAAGCGGATCACTTTATTTTTTTTTAATCTCCGAAATAGATCGGAAATACGAGCGCTTGATGATGGGGGGAGAGGAGGGAATCTGAAAGCTGGAGAATGTTTTCATTGCATGTTTAATTTCCTGCTCGGTTTCCCTGTTTTTTTTCCCGTTTTTATTGGAGTTATACATAGGTTTCTCTCTCTCTCTCTCTCCTCTACGATGGTATTATAACAATTTACCCACACAGATCAAAACAGAGCTCGACTGTTCACAGGACTGGTCTGTGCATAAAAAAGAATCTCTTGTTTATTTGCGAAGGATATTATAAAAGTTTTTTTTTCCTCCCTTTCCCCTCCCCCTCCCCCCAAAAAAAAATGCACAGAGCGACCGATCGAACCGAGGAGTTATTTAACAGAAACGGATCCCTGTTTGAGAGATTGCACCGGAATGGGAGCGGGTTTGATCCGAATTTCTTTTTATTTTTTTAAAAAAAAATAATGCTTAGGATCTCGACGGATAGAAAAAAAAATGCGACCCAGAAAAAAAGGTTGAACGTACAAGCCGAAAGCCAAGCAAGTGCACTGAAGCGAAACAAAATGCCAAGCCCCCTCCCCACTCAAAAGTAAAAGGTTTGTGTGGGGGGGTTCCTGTCGTTTTTCACTGACACGTTTTTTGAATGCAAACTCGAGCCATCAGTCGGTCGGTGTGTGGACCAGTGCGGTAACGATCGTGAGATTAATTTTCATTTTTCTATCAGTGTTTGGAAGTGGAGCCTTTCAAGACTTTTATTCCCCCCCCACACCCCCCACACCCCCAATCCTCCTGTACTGCTGTGTGTCCAGGATATAGGTTCTCAGCTGATATCGCCTGCAATTGTGGCGAGGGTAGAGTTTCCAACCAGGGACAGATTTATGCTGTCAGCTTCCTTTCCGAAGAGACCCTGAGCTCAGCATCGCTCTCTCCCTCCCTCCCTCCCTCCTCTCTCTCTCTCTCTCTCTCTCTCTGTGTGTCTCTATTGTATATCAGGTTTACGAATGAGGCGAAATGCAAAGCATCGAGTAAACGAATCGCCCAGTGCGGCGTTTCACAGTGAGATCACATTCGGTCACGGGGGAGAGGGAGCAGAGCACATCCAATGTGAAACCGTTCAGAAGTTGCACCGATCATCACCAGCTTCTGCGGTTTCAAAGTGAAGTTGTTGGCCCCAGGTTTCTGAACTCTCGGATCTATTGAATGTACCGTTCTCGCTGAGGCTGATCGTTCCGGATAGTCCATGACACGGGTTAAGGCGGTTTTAGTAACGTGTGTCGAAGCGTTTGAAGTCGAGAGAGAGGAAGACTTAACGAGTAAAACTGTTAACCTCATCTGGGGGTGGGGGGGGTGGGGGGGGGGGGGGGGGGGGACTTCTGCAGAGGACCGCAATTGCACTCGAAACAAGAAGCTGCGTTTTGCATTAAATATAATAATCGATACACGCATTTAAAAATGTTACGGTTCGATTAAGATATGTCACGTAGTTTTAAATGCATTTAAACTCTCGGCCGTGAGCAGCGCGTTTTGTGCGATGTGGCTCCTACTGCTGTTTCATCCCCCAATTACTTCAAAGGTTGTGAATTATCGCAAAAGCGATTTGCACAGTTAACTGACAGACGCAAACGTGCGGCTCCACTTCAAGGGCAGCGCTCCTCTCGCACAGCGACAAATCACGACGTTAAAGTGTCTCCTCCGCGTTTTAATTAAACGCTGAACGTGTCGTGTATTTCGCAACAAAAATTGCTGGTTGCGAAGTCCCACACCAGGAAAACGCGTTTATCACGAAAACCTACATTTATTTCCGGGGCCATGTGTTTGAATCATGAAAACGCAGTAAACCGCGGGGGAAAATAAACAGAATAAGGAGTAGTGTTATCCAAACCCGTTTAGTCAAAAGCCCCTGAAAACAGGGCAACTGCTGTCAACCGCTGCTGTTGCAGATAGACTGTTAGTCCATATCCCTGGTAAACAAAACACATTGAATATCGTCATGCACTGGTTATTTACATGCTTTGCTGATATAATATTGGAACATAATATTTGTAACTCAAGCTCATGCTGTTATGATGGTTGCTGGCTATCCTTATAAACCCCTCTCTCTGCCTTTGCCCAGCTGTGTGTTAGCATTTACCTGGACACGAGCTTCTGTCAGGTCAGTCCTCAGGGCCAGCTGTTCCCTGGCATAAACGTCGGGATAATGAGTCTTTTGAAAAACCTTTTCCAGTTCTTCGAGCTGGTAGCTGGTGAAGGTGGTCCTGTTCCTGCGCTTCTTGCCCTTGTTGCTGTCGTTTTCGCCCTTGTCCATGGGACTGGGCATCTCGGTGCCGTTGCCTTTCATTGCAGCCTCTTTCACACTGAGGTAGGAACTCTCCATCACTGTGGGGTCTGAGCTCTGCGGCAACTCGGACTCTGCCAGTGGGCTGTCTTTGGCTAAACACACAGACAAGACTCGAATCAAACTCCACAGTGCATTTCGAGAAAGGCCACACTCTTTAGCTTAACTCTTCGAATATTCAATTCCACTGGTATTTTGAAGGACAGTTAACGTTTTTTGTTGGGGTGGGGTTCACGAGTAATGATATTATATATATATATTTAAAAAATACATTTAACCATCAATGCTTAACATGTACCATGGATAAAACACACACGACGCCTCTTAATTCGAATGAAATAAATCTTGGATTCGGTGTAAACTAATTACCCAAGTGGAGCCTCAACTGAGTGGTAATGCAAAGCCTCCTCGTACTTTCTTTCCAGTATTCCCTGCAGTATATGTACCCTTCTCAAAAGGTTGAGTGTTGTAAGTTAAGATGGCGGGTGTTCACTGTCAATACTAAAGTACAGGCCCACTGTTGACTACCATTAATGGGAATATATATTTAAAGGAAATATTTGCTCGGGAGCCAAGGAAAGGTTTTCATTGGTCATCCGCTTGGGCCCATAACTATTGCGTCTTCCTGTGGTCTGTTTTGTACTTTCTATATTAAACATACTGTGATACATATATATATATATATATATATATATATATATTATATATATGTTGAATTTCCACCTTATTTTTAGACGTGTTAGTGACTATAATAAGGCATTATGTGGGAGAGACCGATTCCATGCAAACACAACTTGAACAGACAGTCACCTTCACAATCCTTTCTGCAGGTAAAACACGATTCTCTCTCGTTGGATTCACAGAGGTGATGTGATCACAACTGTGAGGAAAGCTGCTTCACGCCACATTTCACATCAAATTCACTCCGAGTGACTGGAGATTAATCATTGGGGGGGGGGGGGGGGGGAGCAACTTTGTGCTTTCGCTTATTTGGTTAAATACATAATAAACGAAACAAGAAGCTGCGTTTGTATTAAATATATTTATATTATTATATACACAGGATATAATAATGTATATAAGATTGCATTATTGTCATTTAATTGTATTATTAATTCAATTCTTGTCATTTTGACTCATAACTGGAGCGTTATACGTAAGCTGTGACTTGCAAACTGTCGCACCACACGACGTTTGCAATGAAATGTAGGGGAATACTTTCTGACACGAATTTACAGTTGGCACGAACTAAATGTGTTGTTTTGTTTTCCCGGTGCTTGCATTTCTGTACCCAAAAGACGTGCACTAAATCAAATATACACAAACACGCCCAATCCAACTATGTTGTATTTATTAACATAAGGTTCAGCCTTGCACATACAACTCCAGAAAGCAAGTTAAACTCTCTCCTGGGCACAATCATTTACTGACCAACTGTACATTTAGAGAGGAATATTGGCTGTTCAA